GTCGACCTAGGAGGGAAAGGAGCAAAAAGTGTCCTTTATGTCCCTCTGACCAAATTATTATAGGCCTGAAAGTATGTCTGTTAAACACCCAAGAGGGTTAGTTCTACCAATCTGATACTTTTAATTACTGTTTGTCATGTAGATAAATCTTGGGCAAAGACCAGTTGTTCTCAGATAAACCTTACCTAGACATAATTTCTTGATCTCCTATGTATAATTTGTCAATAGGTTGTAGAAGTAATATGGTTCTCTCTGATTTTCAAAACTAGCTAAGCATTGTTTATCTCTCACATTGTCTCACCCCTCCATCATGGTGAGACTTAAGGTGCCCCCATTTCCCCCCTTTCTCCCTTACTAATACCCTTCTCCTATGATCCTACCCCTATTGAGCTCCTTCTTTCCCTTTAACCTAGGGGATAAAGAGTCCACTTCTTAACATGTGAGTTGAGGATTAAGTTGCCAACACATGAACTTTGGGGGAAACCTTCAAACTATAGCAACAGTGAAGGTAAACCTGCTGTTTATCTCTTGGGAAACGGCTCCCAGCCGGCAAGGTGTGGAGGCACTCAGTACAGGCTTCCACTTCCCCTCACGAGTCTCCCACTGAGGCCCTATGGGTCCAGCACATATTGTCACTCTGTGCTGAGGCTTGACGTTGCTTGGCATCTGCTGTGAACATTGGGAGTGTGACCAGTGATGATGGGGGCCACCACAATGGAACAGTTCCTTGGGACCCTTCCTTGGCTCTTCTGTCCTTAGCAGAGTGACTTCTCCTGAGCCCACTGTCACTCTCCACTTCAGCCCCAGTCCAATGTTCAGATCTGCTGGCAGCTTCATCCATCAGTCACTCTGTCTTCAGACCTCTACAGCCCTTTCTACCTGTACAGGGCCCCACACCCAGCTCTGCAAAACACAGTGATTGGGCAGGTAAGACATGAATAAAAGAGAATTTTCTGGAGCCTCCCTTTCCCTATCTTGATAGGGGTGCTGATCACAGTGATGTCCCATAGACTTTTTGCACGAAAAACTAATTCAGATTATTAATTATTAGTAGTTACCATATGGCCAGGCATGGTGGCACATACCTTTAGTCCAAGCACTTGGGTGGCAGAGGCTGGTGGATCTCTGTGATTCCAAGGCCAGCTTGGTCTACATAGTGATTTCCAGGCCAACTGGGGCTACAGGGAGATGTTGTCTCAAAAAGACTAAAAAACAAACAAAACACAAAAAATAATTACCATATGATAATAATTATTTCTAGGAATAAAGTACCAATAAATATTAATCATTAAAGTACTTGGAACAATTTTAGTACATATTAAACACTCAAAATGTTTGATTACATTTCTCACTTTTTTTTCATATTTTATCTTTCCAACCAAATCAGAAAATGGGTCCCCAAAGCCTTTTTTCTCAGCTGGAAATTAGAACTAGCACATTGCCAAGATCCTCCTCTGGTTTTGCCCACCCACCCTACCAGCACATCTTTGTGTACAGTGATCTTCCTAAAACCTAGCCAATCATTTTTGCCCCTCCTGGGTAATCTACAGTGAATTCCGAATGCAGGCCTCCCAGGTCCAGGAGGTTGGTCCAGCTGGGTGCCCTTCCTTTCTTCCACGCCTCACCCCATGTATCCTAGCTTCAGCGTGGTCCTTCCCACATGCCTCATTCCATCCTTTCTTTGCAGGAACTTCATGCCTATCCTCTGAGCCCCAGCACGAGCATTTTATGATGCTTCTCAGAGTATCCCAGAGCTATCTTTGTTTCCTGCTCCTCCTTCCTCTGTTCCTTCTAATGACTTGTTAGTGGACCACACATGTGCTGTGGGCAGTCCCCAGGGTCACATGCTCAGCACGTCTCCAAATCTGATGAACTGCAAGTGCTAAATAGAGCCAGTGTTTTATGAGCACTTACCCAGTGCCTGGCTTGCACGTGCTAACTTGCTTATTTTTCACGGCAGCTCTGTGAGGCTCTGTCACTCAGAGCCCTCCCTGGAGACAGAGACGACACTAATTATTTGAACAGAGAATTTAATCTTTAGAAGCATTAACCAGGCATAAAGTGTTGACTTGGTCCCTAAATGAAACACATATAGGAAATTGCAGGAGACAGCACCTGTGGAACTTGAAGAACAGAGGCAAGTGATAGGGAGAATTAAAACTTGCACCCCTGGGTGGGGTCACCAGCCCATGTCAGAGGCAGCAGCTCTGGACAGAGAAGCAAGAACAATAGGACATATTGTGTCATTGGAAAATCCATGACATGAATTTAGCTTTCTCTGAAAGAAGGAAGGACTGCAGCTTAGGTAAGACAGGAAGCCAAGTGATGTTCTCTGGAACAGGAAGTCTCGGGGAAGAACCAGGTCTTCCCCCTCCTCGAGCCCTAAGTCTCCCTCTCCTGGTCCTGTCAGCAGCACCCAAACAGGTCTGCAGAGTCCCATCCTCTGCATCTCAGCTGGCAAAGAATCCAGAGATAAAATGAAAATCTAATAACTGGTATAGGCCAGAACCCTGAGTATTCCTGTGTCATAAGATAGAGAAACAGACACAGAGCGATTAGAGAGCCTGTCCAAGATTAAATGATGACTTAGAACAGAGGTGGGATTTGATGCATCACCCTGCGCTTGCTCACCACTGCTCTGCCAAAGATATAGAATGAATGAATGAGTCACAGACTCACAACGTCCTGGCCCAGTCCCAGGCCGTGGAGTCCTATGTATGATGTGTGGTTCCAGCTGGTCTGACTGCCTCATTGCTGCCCTCCAGGTCATCCATTGGAATTCTCCCAAGAAGCTAAGGGTAAAGAACAAGCATGTGGAGTTCTTCCGCAACCTCTACCTGACCTTCCTGGAGTATGATGGCAACCTCCTGCGGCGGGAGCTGTTCGGCTGCCCCAGTGAGACCGATGTCAACAGTGAGAATGTGAGTCTTCCTGGATGGTGGGAGACAGGGGCCACGCTTCCATTTGTCTGCTGTGATCCTTTGTTGGGTTCTGCATCCAGCTCAGGGAAGGAAACAAGACACCTCAACTTCCCTGGGATCTGTGGCCTGGGCAGGCAATAGGCAGGTCATCTAGCCACTTCCTGCAGATTATTATGGGCGTGGGAGGGTACATTCAGCTGTGGAGTGGATCAGAGCGAGTTTCTAGGCAGAGCAAGTCATCAGATATCAGTGTGTGCCTCATGAAACTACAATGTTTGTGGTGGAGGCATCCGTCTGGGACCCTGGGTTCTGCTTGGTTGGTGCCTGGGGTGACAGAAGATTTCCACAGGGACTGGTTCCTTCCTGGGTCAGTGTAGGCCAAGGAAGTATTGGGTGGGGGTAGTCACAGGCACAGCTGAGGTCTACTCTGGTTTTTTCTATTTCCTATTCTTTCATATGCTATAGCTTATGTGATGGTCGTAGAATCCCTCTTTTACCATGGAAAGAATTGAAGGCAGAGCCTAGCAGGTTGCCTGTGGGTCACACAGCAAGGAAGGAGGCCAGCTGTGACCAACATTGAACTCTAAGCATTTGGGAAAGGAACACTTTAGCCACAGGAAGCAGGGCACAGGCGTCAGGCTGACCTGAGTTGGACTCTAGTTATTACCTTCCTATTAATGCCTGTGTGGCCTTAAATAGGACACTTTGTGTTTCTGTATCTCTGTTTCCTCAACTGTCAAATGGGAAGGAAAGAAATGGCAGGTAAAACAACCCCCAGCTCAGTAGCCAGATAGCAGATGCTCAGTAGGCGTTTGTTCTCTCCTGGGCCCCAGGTGTCAGACACAGAAGTGATTACTTCATTCATTCAGTGTACAAACATGTACAAAGTGTTTGTTCCGAGCACTGAGTAATGATAAGCTAAAAGGACAATGTTCCCTGCCCTTGGGGAATATGTATCCCAGTCAGAGAAACACAACTAATGGATAACTAGCCGAGCTGTCAGGAAAAATGACTGGCTAGTAATGAGTGCTACACAGCAAAGGCTAGTGAGAAGCCAGGCAGATTCTCAGAGGATAAGCAAGATTGCAATAAAGAGATAAAGCTCAGTCTGAAACCTAAATGAACGGAAAGCCAGCTTCAGCAAAGCAAGGAAGTGCATTCCAGATGGAGAGTATAGCTGTACGAAGGACGTGAGGCAGGACGGGTTGTGAGAACAGGATGGGGACCCGTGAGGAAGAGCACGCAGCCAGCAGCAGCCAGATGCAAGGATCTGTAGCTGGTCAGAGGATCCTTTGTAAACTAGGTTATGAACTATCTGAGTCTAGATTTTCCCCTGGGATTGGTGTGGTATTTGTAGCTACCTTGGATGTCATGAGAAGTCTTTTAGTCTCCCTGTGGAAGGTCAGGAGGCACACGTTCACCTGGCCTCTGGTGAGATGCCTGGTCACAATGCCACCGCTGCCCTCTTGAGTCACAGTGAAGTTACCGCCTCCTCTGGCTCCTCTTGCCCCAGAGTTCTCTGTGTCTGCATTTCTCTGCTGGCAACAGAGAAGGAAATTTATTGGGCACTTGAACTTTTCGGGCTCTAAGAAATAGTGCTTTCCACCCACCCTGCGTCCCTCTGTTTCCCACTAGTTTCTTTGGCTCAGGTCCATTTGCTCTCACCACTGATGGATGAGTGCCCATTTGACCCCCTCCAAATGCCCAAAGAAAACTCTTCTTTCCCTCATTTCCCCTCTGAGGCTGTTCCCCTCTGAGCATCCACATCCCTGGGCTGCCATGGTGAGCAACTAGGTGCCACATGAAGCCGGAACTCTGTCTGAGTGTCTCAAAGGCTTTTCCCACCACCTCCTCCTTTCCTTACATGGATCTTGAGGATGAAGAAGTCACTCACCACCTTGCTCAGAATCTAGGACTGTGCTTATTCACTCCTTATGCCTACATAGATGCCAGCCATACGTCAGGAGCTCTGCAGGCCCCAATAAGGACATTAGAGACTGACCCATATGCAAGCTGACACAACAACCCCTGGACAGGCCAAGAAGAAAGGCTGTCCAGGTCTGGGTGGCCCGGAAAACAAGCGTGGCCTGCTCTGAGCACTCGGCATCCCAGCTACTTCCTACCAACTACCGTGCATCAGCCCTTCCCCCTGCATCCCCAGCTCCCCATTGGACCTGTGTTCATGTTGCTTCACTGCCTGGCACATCACGCCCCTGCCTAGCATGTTTAAAATATGCCCAGTGTGGCATAAATGTGCCCAATGTGGCATTGAGAAACCCCTTAAGCCATTTTCTGTGACCTGCCTCATTTTCTTTCCATCAGAGCATATACAACTATCTGCCATTACCTAGTTCAGGTATTTGTTTCCTAGTATTTTCCCCCCAAATATGAGATTCCTAGGTTGGAGACTTTAGGCCATTCTCCTCTGGTGTCCCTTCTCTAGAATAGAATCAGGCACATAATAAATGTTCAGTGAGTGAATGTAGTGGACAGATGTAAGAGGAATGAGACATTGGTCAAGGGAAGGGCAGGTGAAGAGGGAATGGCAGAGGAGAGGGTGCTGGCGGCTTCTGTTCAACAACAGAGCACACTGGGAGCCAGGCAGCAAGTGCAGCTGAACAGAAGGGCCTTGGCTGCAATGTGAGTTTGGAGTGTAGCCTATTGATTTTGTAGATACGGTCACATTTACATTTGAGGAAAGTCTGTGCAGAGAACAGAATAAAAGGAACAAGACTGGGAAGAGGGAAAGCACGCAGAGGCCGTTTCCCAGCCCTGGTGAAGAGATGGCCATGGGGTTCTTACCTGGACCAGGAACAGCAGGAGTGGAGAGCCCGGCTGGACTGCTTTGTGGATCCTAAGGACAGGGGAGCAGGTACAGCATTCATGCATGAATGAAGACAGCAGGTCCCTGTGCCCTGCCAGACAGGTGTCTCTGCTGGCTATGTTGTAGGTTGAATCAGCCATCAGCAGGTGCTGCACAAGGAGACAGTCTGGACAGTGCACTTCCCGTACCCTGTTCTGTGAGTAACCCACCGCCTGGTCCTCTAGCATGGCAAGGGTGATGTGCAAACACAGCTAGGGGGACAGGATCAGATCCAGGGTCCAGAGCAAAACTGATGCTCTGAGCTCTGTAGGAGTAGTCGGCACAGTGCACAGATGGTCTTGAGTCTGGAGGTAGCATTCAAGACCCGCTTCACTGAACCTCAGGCTCCAGATGGGAACGGGTCCCACGGCAGACTGTGCAAGCCTCAAGACTCATTCATCTGCCCAGCAGATGCTCACTGAGTCCCCAGCCATGGGGCTTGTGATGGGGCAGGAAGCGATGTAGGGTGAAACCTGGCTCTCACAGTGCCTGTCTGCAGAAAAGCATGAAGTTGTCACATCATGACAAGCACCAGCATGGTGGTAGTGCTCTGAGGGTGTGTGGGAGGAAGGGAGTGTCACATGACTAGGAGAAAGAGGCTCACCAGTATTGGAGATTGAACCTAGGGTGTCACACATGCTGGGAGATACCACCACAGAGGTACATCCCCATTCCCTTTGCTTGGTTTGATTTTCATTTTGAGACATGAAGTTTTGTTAAGTTGTCCAAACTGGCTGTGCACTCACTCTGTAGCCTAGACTGTACTTGAGCTTGTTGTGATTACAAGCCTATACCACCAGACCTGGCCAGGTCAGATCTGAAGGCTAGGTATGTAGGAATGAGGGGTCTGCAATGTGGACTTAGTATGGAGAAGCAGAGGAGGCCCGAGGTGAAGCCCAGCAGAGTGCAGGGGCACAGGCTCTGGTGGTGAAGGAGGACCGTGTTCTCATCTTCACTGTTACTTCCTCATTTGGGAATGATGCGGTGAGGAGGAAGAAGGTGTGAGCTCCCTGGAGGTGAGCAGCCTTCATTTGGTAGACAGATGGCCTCAGCAAAGCCCACAAATGCTCTTAGCCTCAGGTTTACCATCTGATCGATAGGGACAGAGATGTCTTTCTGGGAGTTTTGTGAAGAACTCATGTGAAATCATCCAAAAAGAAGGGCTTGATGCCAAGAACACTGTGTACATTGGGAGTCTGCACGTGGCAACACCCAGCCTGCCTGAAGATAACTGTCAGTTTATGAATAGATTTCAGGTTTGATTAACAGTTCGCTGGAGGAGGGAGGTGGCTGGCAGAGAGGAGAACCTGTGGTGTCCCTTTGAAATCCATCTATGTCTCATGGGCGGGTGTTGTCACATTTGCTTTTGGTCAGGCAATCTTCCTGAGTAGATTTGGCTGGTTGTGATCTGCCTCTGCAGCAAGGAGCTGGGATGTGAGGAGCAGGGCCCCATTCCAAGACTTCAACCAGGGACTGTCACAGACAGACAGGCTTACAAGACAAAAGGCTCCACCAGGAAGATTGAATGACAGCAATTGATGAGATACAGCCACTCTCGTCCCATAGTTTGCCTGGACATTGGTCTCTGGAACCAGCAAGTTCATATACGATGCAATATAATGCCGTCATCACTAATATGCATCAGTTGTTTATGGTTCATTACGTGGAGCAGGAATGGACATGAGAATTCTGTACATTAGCATCTCCCTCCCTCTTCCATGACTACCATTCCTAGGGCATATTCCAGAAACCCTGGTGCTCGGAACACAGAAAGTCAAGGTTGCTCTCAACCCACTTCCTGTTCAGAACTCCTGTATTCTGGCATCTTGCTGGAATCCTCCAAAGTCTGCGAGGTCATGACCTCCAAGACAATGCTGTTAGCCAGCTCCACATGCAAAACAGTTGTACTCCTGTTAACTTGAAAGCATTACCTCTATAAGGAGACCATTCATCTTAGTCCTGTCCTCTAAGGACACCTAACCCTTGTCCCTAACAGGCCACCTGTCACTGAGCAGAGCATAGCTCCCTAACTAAGCATTGTACCACAGAGTAAGGGTGTCTTATCCAGAAGGCTTTGCTCCACCCACAGGAGGTTGCTGGTGAAGCAGGCTCACCCTTTTAAATGCAAATCCATTGA